CGCAACAAGAGAAGCCACGACAATGAGAAGCCCTCACACTGCAATGAAGAGTAGCCCCTGCTCACCGCAACTAGAGAAAGACCGCGCACAGCAACGAAGACCCAAAACAGCCAAAAGTAGATAAATAAGTAAATTTATTAAAAAAAAAAAAAGAAAGAAAGCAACAGTAACTGACAAACACTTTCAAATGGAAGCTTGAAAACCTTTTAAGCTTATCCCTAAGAGCTGCTTTTAATATAGGAAAATAACATATAATTATTGATATATCAGTAATTAAACTGATGCTAAGTCTTTGTATAATGGGCTCCAAACACGTAAACCTCGCTACCAAGCACTGTGTTTGTCCTTTATGATATAGATCTACAGTGCTCTCTGAAATGTTTGATGCTTCAGTGAAAAGAAAATTATTAGAAATGTAAGACATTTGTTTTAATTTTTCTAATTCCTATTCTGAGATAAACAGTATTTCAAAAGAAATTTCAACTGACATGAATTTAATTATATAAATGTAAACCCAAAGCTAACTCTAAAATTGAGCAAAATCTATTTTCTTACATACTTGTGGACATCTCTTCAAAGTCACATTTTCACTTGCACATGGGCTGGCTTATGACAAAAGACAGTGAAAAGACAGAGTAGATAGCCATACAAAATTGGATTCAATGACCCTTCCAGCCACAACTAAGGAAAAAGGAAAAAAATGATTATTAGTAGTTGGGAGTCCATTTCTAGAAATAAGGAGGATTAGCTAAAATTAAATTAGATACATGCCAAAAAAAGCAGATGATTAAAAGAACAAAGAAGAATAAGAGAAAGACTAGTTCTTTGATTAATGAAAAATTATATAGTGGTCTACTGTAATAGAAAGTGAGTATTGAATTTTTCAGGGTGTAAGCCGATTCCAATACTGTAGCTACACTTACTGGGAATAAAATGTGGGCAGGCATATCCACGTACACAGTTAATGAGCATTTCAAAGAATTCTGGAAATTCTTTTTTTTTTTTTTTACTCAAGTACTTGAAGAAAATGGGAACAAGTTTGAGATTCACACTAATGAGATGAAAGGGCTTTTAAACAGTATTTAGTTGAGTAGATATTCAGGGAAAAGCAGTGTTCTGGAATAATTTTAAGTCATAACTTTGCGAGTGTGAGTAGACGCACGGATTGACTCTTGTCCACCCCATGTTCTTACTACCTGGACTCCCAACTTCATGAAAAACACCGAATCCTCTCTTCTCAATCCCCTCAGTTCCTTGAAATGCAGTTTTTCACTCCCAACACTCTGCCGGCATTGCATTTTGTAAGGTCCCCATTGCCCACCACTCAGCAAATTCAGTGCTGCTTTTTTTTGTTGTTGTTGTTTGTTTGTTTTATTTTAGGAGGAGTTTTTGCCTCTGGCATTACCAACTTCCCTGAAATTCTTTCTCCTGTTGGCCTGGACATGCTCTGTCTCTCCAGGCTGTCCTCACACCTCCCAAACCCTTCATGTTTCTTCTCTCTCTCCTTGCTTTCTTCCTCCTTGTTTTACAAACTGTCCCTTGGTAATCACATACACTTGCATAAATACAAATACCGTTATCCATATCTCTTAAATTCTAAGGACAATGGCAAAGACATCAGTTGTCAATTTTCTTAACCATGGTGTGCTTAAATTCTCAGATAATATTCTAATTCCAAGAAATGGAAAAGAAATGACATTTGAGAGACTCAATTATTTTTAAGGTTACTTTGTTGACCTATGGTCTAGCACTAACCCGTGTGTTTGAAAACTACACGCTTTGATATGATAGCCAAAATGTCAACAAAATAAATGAACTTCTGCATTTATTTATTTACTTTTTCTTTATTAAAAGATCGTAGTTTTCTGAGTTGCATTTCCTTTGACGTGCCTGACATAGGAAATTGAGTTTATTATGTGTTAAGGTGTTTTTTAATGTTTGAAATCTAACTACTGAAGGAGATAGAAATCAGACACAAACTTGTGATAAAATTTTATACCAAATTTAAGAGGTCTAAACTTTAAGTATAATTTGATGCTATTGATTTTCTCATTCAAATTTTAATGCAGTCATTGCAAAGAATAGAACAGTTTATAAATATGTTACACTGCCAACAAATGAAGTGAGAACTGCACTGAGAGATTTCTGTGAGTGTAACAAATATGTATCATTAGTTCATAAATTCACTTTTCTTTTATTTGGATAATATAAATTTCAGTCAAAGTCATACTGAAAGGCACTTACAGTCCTGCAATAGAAAAGGCCACTAGGTAAGAATGCGTAAAGAATAGAAATTGCTATGGATTTTGAGGTCCTACTAGTTTATCCTGAACCTAATGAATTCTATTAAAATTGGAAATAATCGTTTTTCTGTAGTGACCAAGACTAACTATAAGAGATTAAATCTGCTGGCCGGGAAAGGGAGCAGCATGCAGTTTGCCTGTAGGTAAATTGCTTTGTATGAAACTGAATTCACTTGCAAAAGCAATTATATTTTTCTATAATATTTTCCCTCTAGAGGGTAACTGCAAAGGATACATGTAGCCAACCAACAACCAAAAAAAAAAAAAAATGATGTAAAATGTTTTATTATCCATAAAATTCTGTAACTGTGAAGGTAACTGAATGATATGTGCAGCAAACCATAACCAAGAAAAACAAACAAAAAAGATAGAAAATGTTTTATTATTGATCTAATCAGAGGCATACTTATAATGGTGCTTGAATTACTTGAGTTGAGGAGAAGCTAAAACTGTGAAATAACTGCCTACCAGCCTAAACTGGAAATGTTTCTTACCTTGCAGTGTGGGTACCACATACAGCAGGGAGTAACAGCAGGTAAGGGGCTCCCACGCTGGTTTTATTCAGTCCCAGACACCTCGAAGTTCAAGAACTTTCCATTTCACACCGGCTTCCCCTAAGTTTTCAGAGTTCCCAATTTCCGGTACTTAGGAGTGTCCTATGCCACTGAGATGGGGACTTGTCCTCCGAGGGACACTGGGATGCACAGATGTGCGTTATTTGTGCTGCACCATCGGTGGGCGGCCCCTGGGCGGCTGAGCAAAAGCCACGTGTGGTGTCCACTCAACAGGTCCCCCTGGCACCAGTGACAACACACTCGCGTGGAGTGGGGGCTGGGAAATGGACCTGCTCCTGCGTCCTCGGCTCCCCTGCCGATCCACTGTCCCCGGTCCACGGCCTACAGTCCACAGGCGCCCTTGCCATGTCTCCATCATCACACCTCCTCCTTCCTGCTCCACACGGGCAGCTGTAATCTTTAGCTTATCTGGGAGTCAAGAGTCTGGTTCTTCATCTATTCTTTTCAAACTATTGTTTATGACAAAAATGTTACAGCCTTAGTTCTTCATGGCTGACACTGCAAATACTAAGGGGCATCTCTTGAGAATTAAACACCTGCACTGGTGTTTCTCTTTAGAGCTCTGAAAGCCTATTTTGATATGTAAAAGTCAAGGATTGCCTTCTTTGTTCTTTTGCTGTAGTGTACAGTGTTCTTCAGCTGTAGTGGCATTTTTTGGAAACAACTTGGGAGGAGGGATCTAGCTCCCTTCAGGGTATGAGGAATTGTAAGGGGTTGGGCAGGGGAACATAGTTGGTCATGGGATAACATCACGTCACAGCTAAAAGTACAGATTGCATAGGGTCAAGTCTGGATCTACCACTACATAGGCAGTTCATTTAATTTATTTATTAACGAAGTTGGGCAATTTATTTTGCCTTTCTTTCCTCACCTGTTTTAGTTTTGTTTTGTTGTTGTTGTTGTTGTTTTATGATCGTTATACAACAAATACTACAAACCTGGTGTCTTAAACAACAGAAATTTATATTCTCATAGCTTATTTTCAGACTTCGGGCCGAAGTCTGAAACTCAGTTTCACTGGGCTGAAATCAAGACGTTGGCAGGGCCGCACTCCTTCTGGAGTTTTAGGGAGAATCCTTTCTTGTCTCTTCCAGCTTTTGGTGGCAGCCAACATTCCCGGACTTGTGGCCACATCACTCCAAGCTCTGCCTCTGTGGTCACACTGTCCTTCTATTCCTCCTTGTGTCTGTCTACTCTCCCTCTGCCTCCCTCTTATAAGGAGACATGTGATTGTCTTTAGGGCCCATCAGATAATCCAGGATAATACCCCCATCTCATGACCCTTAATGCAATCACATCTGCAAAGTCCTTTTCTTGCCATATAAGGTAAAATCCACAGGTTCCAGGGAGTAGGACATAAATGTATTTTGGGGAGACCATTATTCAGCCTACTGTAAGTTAGGATGATGATAGTACGTGCAAGAACACATAGCGTGTGACAAGTGCTCAGAACAATGTCTACCAGGCAAAAAATCTCTCAATAGAGATCTCCAATCTCTCACTGTGCTTCCCTGGTGGCACAGTGGTTGAGAGTCCGCCTGCCGGTGCAGGGGACGCGGGTTCGTGCCCCGGTCCTGGAGGATCCCACGTGCCGCGGAGCGGCTGGGCCCGTGAGCCGTGGCCGCTGAGCCTGCGCATTCAGAGCCTGTGCTCCGCAATGGGAGAGGCCACAACAGTGAGAGGCCCGCGTACCGCAAAAAAAAAAAAAAAAAAAAATCTCTCAATAAATGTTAGCATATGATGGTGATGCCAATGGCAATGGAGCAACAAGAAAATACAGAAGAAAATTTCAATGTGGACAATATAATTTTTAAATAAACATAGGAACTTTTAAATAAACATGTCATCTCTGGAATTTTGATGTGTGCTAACCTTGAAATGTTATTATTCAAAGAATTATATCACCACATTGAATAACTGTAACCGATGTGAAAAATGAGCTATTTCATTTAGCCATATGATATACATGTCGCCAATGTTAACTTTGTCTTTTGTCACTTTTTACTTGAAATTTAAACCATTTCAACAATTTCATTCATCCTGAATTCTTCCTAAAGTGAAAATCAAAGGTGTGATGTGATATGATTGTCTCCTTTTGCTCTCTTGTCTCCTTATATCCTAGGATACAGATCTAATGACATTCAACATCTCTGTACACCGGTCGTGGTGGCGGGAACACGGGCCTGGCTGTGTCCGAAGAGTGCTGCCCCCGTCAGCCCACGGCATGATGGACGATTACACGTATGTCTCCGTCACCGGCTGCATCGTCGACTTCCAGTACCTGGAGGTCATCCACAGTGCCGTCCAAATACTACTCTCTGTAAGTATCACGTTTGTCCGATCAGGACTCTCTTTAATGGCATTTTATATCTAAACTTTCTGTCCATACACCCCCACCGGTAGATAATGCCGTAGATGAGCACACAGAGAACATCCTTTAAACAATGGAAATAGCAGCGATGATGCTAACGGTAGTTATGCTTAATGGCAGGTGACATCTTTTTCCTCTTGGTATCCAGACACTTTGTTTTTAGAACCAGTTAGTTGCTGTAGTTTCTAACTTGAGATACAATCCCCACAGTTCAGTGGAATAGTACCACCATCCCCCAGAAGTGGTGCATTGCCCCTTCACTACTGTGGGCTCTTCTCCTAATATACTCCTACCGCTGCAACTACTTCTAATGCATTCTTTTATTAAGTCATGTTAGTTCCAAAGAAAGAAGGATGAAAATACACCCGATGTCTTTCTCAATCTAATAAACCTCATATTTCAAATAATTATTTCTTAAGAAATCAGATTCCTCCAGAGAGTCCTACACATTTTAGTGCCTGAAATTGGTTGTGAGGATAGAGTTCCATATAGAGAAACAGAGACGCAGTAGTCTGATTGGACCACAGAAGGTTTATGTGCTAGGAATTCCTTAAAGACATTTTCTTTCCACCAGACTGTCCCAGCCACAGTTTGGTCACGCTGTGGAGTGGAATTAATTTAAGATATATACCATCTTCAAGAATGCTGTTTCTTTGAGATCCGACAAGGACTTGGCATTTTGTTTGAGTCAATATGCAATAAAGCCGTTCTCACAACACTTTTCACATGAACCAACCATCTCAGTTCTTCTATCCAGATGGTTAGAGTTAGAGTCAGAATGAGAAAGACAGGCTCAATAATAAATAAATAGATGACAGAAGTACGAGAGGTGTATGTCCATTAAGAATGTACCTTGGAATTATTTCCAGAAAGATCTTTAGGAGTCCCTGCTAACACTTACTGTATCTGTTATCTACTGCTGTGTAACAAACTGCTCCAAACTGTAATTACTTAAAACAGTATCAGTGTGTTGCTTAGAGTCCTGTGGCTCAGGAATTTGGGCAGGGCTCAGTTGGATTGCTCTGTTTCACATGGTACTAGCCAGGTCACTCACGTGAACCTTCCACCAGGAGCTCTGCTCTGGTTAGAATATTCTAGAAGTCCTCACTTATATGTCTGGTGCTGGGTGTTGACCCACATTCTCCTCCACATGGCTTCTCTTTTGAAGAAAACTTGACAGACTTTCTTGCAGCCAGGCTGCTGGTTCCAAAAAGAGAAGCCCAACATGCAAGCATTTATCAAGCCTCTACTTGAGAGTAATGTCTACTGTTGTCCCATTGGCTACAGAAAGTCATGTGACCAAGCCCAGTATCATTGTGGGAGGGGCCTCTAGAAAGGTGAGAGTATCAGGAGACATGGCTCATTTTGAGCCATCAATGTAGCAGTCTTACCCGTCTTTACATAATTTATTAACTATTGTTCTTTAACCTGCATATGTCAAGGTTTAAAATAGTGTTTTAGAGCATATTTGAATTATAATTTTCTAGAAAGCCTAAAGACTAGAATAAAATACTTCAAAGATCTTTTAGTGTTCTAGTTCAATGAAAGGCAAACTCTACCCTAAATTCAAAGAGGTTGGACCACAATGCTAAGGAATTTTCTTTCAGAAATGTAACAGGGAATCTGATTATTCTTCGTTTCTATATGCTGTCACTTGTCCATATATGTTTATCAATCTTTCCCTATTCTCTGGTCTTTCTTTACTCTCCTGGCAGTTACATATGAAATTGTGGCAAACTGTATATGTTTAAACCTCTGAATTAAAAAAAAAACATGGAGGCAAATTTTCTTTTAAAATGTGTCAGTCTATTTTAAGGTGAAATTGTCCTAGGTTCTAAAAGTTCTTATTAAATTTTGTAACACTGAAACATTTTTCTAGAATCCTTCATGTGTGAACAGATTCCCCTCCTTTAAAAAAAATGCATAGAAAATTGCTAACCCATTTTGTGGCATGATGGCATGATTTCCAAGTTTTTATAATGCAGTAGAATGCTGTAGAATCAGAAAGTCATTTCTCCATAGTAACTCCAATTCAAATGAACAGCAAGGTGAAAGTATTTATATGATAAGATGTTGAACTAACGTTAAAAACCTACTTTAGAGAAAAGTACAAAATAAAGTGTATGTTGCCACCTATAAGTACTTGTCACTTACAAATTAATTCCTCAGCACATTTGTTTAGTGAATGTTCAGAGCTGTCCACCTGCATACAGAGTCCTCATTATCTTGTTCAGCCTTCCAGCAGTAAAAATATAAGTTGCTGATCTCTGACTTTTCTTGTATAATATACCTGCCAGACAGGATTGTCAATATTTTTTCTTTTTATGTTAAAATGAAATATATCCTGACTTTGTTTCACAACGATCAAATTATGTATTATTGTTGTGGTTGATTGCATATAATTTTCTTTTATTTTCTACTTATTTCATACGAATATGTCTACAATGATTAGAACTGTGATTTTTTAAAATCTGATGATATGGGAATACTTCCTGTATCTCAGCGTGTGCTGAGATGCTTAGCATGTGCTGAGATGTCTTATTAGTGGAAAAAGTAACAGTTGCAAGATTTAACAGCCCCTGCATGGGCAACAACGAAGCAAACGGGCAAAGGGCTTTGAGATGAGGCAGGGTCCCAGAGGCCCTGCTGCCCCAGGGGTTACCTCTATAATTGCTGAAGGCCCAGGAATATCTAGAAGGACACAGGGAGGGGCCGGCAAGGGTGGCCAGGATGGTGGAGAGGGGTTTCAGGGCAGCAGTTCTCTGACAAGTTGAGAGGAAAGTGTTTGAGTGACTTACCCGCAGATACAGCTCTGATGGTGGACACCACCTGTATGATTGTCCCGCCTAACAGCAGGGCTTGGAACTGGAAGAAACGAAATCCCAGTCATAAGCATTCAACAGGAAATGGGTACAAGCTTGATGGAAACAGACAAAAACAGCAGAGCTCAGAAAGAAGGGATAGGGTCCCACACAGGCTCTGAGAGCATCCGCACCCCACTCAGCTCTCCCCGAGGCCTCCTGCCAATTGTGAGCGACACCAAGTTGAAGATCAAGTGGAATCCCAGGAAAGGCTGTGGACAGTTTGAGGGGAGGGGCACGTTTCATTTAGGAGGGGATGATGCCAACATCTTCAAAGGCAGTAGCCGGGATCAAGGCTGCGGGATCTCCACCTCACCTGAAGCATGGCCAGTGATCTGAGTATCAGTCTCCCTGCCCCAACTCTGCCCCGCCCAGTGTCACGCCTGCACTTTGCTCCTGGAGACATGATGCGAAAGTGCAGATGTGATTACTCACTTTCCTTCTGATCACCCTTCGGTGATTCCCGTCACCTTGGAGATGAAATCCGAATTTGCACCTTGTCAGCTGAGGCCCTCATGACCTGCCCCTGCCTGATTCCCACCCTGGTCTCCTGACCCTCCCGGACAGGAGCCCAGCTGCCACCCATGCAGAGTGTGACCTGTTGGCAGGCGAGCCTGCAGCCCGGCCTGCAGCACTCTGCTGGGAATGGGTCCTCCCCCACCAGCTCTTCATCCACCGGCCACGGTCCACAAGTAGACATCTTTCCTCCAAAAGTTGCAGGATATGTTAATTTAGTTTTTTTAAATAGACAATACATTCACTTAATTCAGAAACATAAAAATGTGTGCGGTGAAAATCCTCCCTCCTTCCCTCGTGTCCCCATTTGCCTGGGGCCCCCATCTCTGCTCCGCATCGGGCAACCCACCCCGTTTTGTCTTGTTTGTCTGTTTAGTGTCATGCGTATGACTCCAAAGTGTCTTTAGGCAAATATAAGAAAATGTGACTCTGTATTCTTATCTGCACCTCACAAAAAACAGCATATGATACGCATTCTTCTGAGACTTTCCTTTTTTTTACTTATTATATATTTTGGAGCTGTTTCCATATCAGCACATCAGCGTTTCATTGTTCATTTTAATGGTCCCCTATTGATTGACATTTGCATTGTTAACTCACCTAAATATAATGATTTTGGATATATATAAGATACAATATATCTAACATAATATATAGTATAATACAATGTCAATTGTATATTATAGTTATGTATTTTATAATTTATTACACACGTGTTATACTAAATAACTGTGCATGTGTCACTGAGAGCATTTCGTAGACCTGTACATCTCATGCACCCCCAGGCTCTACCAGATGGCCTGCCATGTGCACACTGTTTTATAGTCATTGAGTCTCTGGTCTGTCTACCTTCCAGAAAGAAAGTTCATTGAAGGCTGGTATAGTGTCCTTTTTTCCCCTGTTCATTTCCGTGGTCCCAGTCACTAGCAGAGTGATGGCACTAAATATTTAGTGAATGAATAAATGACGAATGAACACTTCCAACGTCTGAAGCGGGTAAACACAACAGGAAGAATCCATTGATCAAAAACTGGCAGGGGTGAATGCACAGACAAAATGCTGGAGCCAGAGAGAAGATTCCCTTCATCTGGCAGAGGAAGGGGATGTAGGCAAAATATTCTGCAGTGCTTGGCACGAAGCACTCAATAGCTCTGTGTTGCTAACGGTGCTGTTGTTACTACAACTGCTCTTTGCCTGTCCCTGCCCTACCCGGGCTGGTCCTTCTTCAAAGACTAGAGGGATACATCCTGGCGATGCTCTATGTATTGAAACCTTAGTTCATTAATCCCGTATCTGACACCTGTTTCCTGCATGAAAAATGTCATTCCTATGATCTTCATGGGACATGAAATCATACATTTCTATTCTGAGGACTGAACTTTATTTAATATGTATCTATTTTCCTCCTTCTGGTTTCCTAGAATTCTTTCCAACCTATGCCTCTCAAGAGCACTTGGCTAACTGAATGTGTTTCAGATTTTTGTGGCAAGTTTCAGAGTCACTACAGTGAAACAAGGTTTGAAGTAACCAGTTAAAGACCAGTTGGAAGCTCCTGAGGGCTCTGATCATAAT